TGCTTTTGTCCGGGGGGGGGGGGTTGTATTCCAGACCATCTTCCAGGGCCAAGGTGTCATCATTCCATCTGTTGCATTCAACTGATTGTGACCACCTTCCAGGGCCAAGGTGTCATCATTCCATCGGTTGCATTCAACTGATTGTAGCATGTTTTCACTGTGAAGATGCCTCTCTTTTGCCCCCCCCCCCCCCCCCCTCCATTGTTCTACATAAGTTATGTGTTTCATTCAACTATTAAACGGAACAGTTGAAGTCCGAATCACATAGTAATTTAGGCTTTAGGATTGAATGACTCAAAATATTATACTAAACCATAAACTTGTGCCTGCACGTTTATAAGTACAACAACACACAGGAGACTGTGGTTAGAACAAGGAACACAAAGTATACTTTCCTTGCAAAAACAAAGCATACTGAAGTAATAACTTAGGAGGATAAGTTATCATTTATTCTTCAAACAAGAATTATCCATTTCTGTGATACAAAGAACTACCATATCAGTACACCACTCTAGGTAAAATCCAGATGCACAACTAAAGTGAAAATTCAGTTTGTGCCTGGAAAACTGAAATCGGGAACAAAAATCACAAAATAAAAATGGAACTGGCAATAACTTTTCACCATCTCCCACTGCTTTATCCCCAAAAAAACCCATGGGAGGGAGGCTTCTTTATGGAAACAATAATCACGACATAATTTAGTTTCTTTCTTGTCAAAGTGTAAGATTCTTTCATCTACAAACTCATCAAAAAGGGATTTTTCATCTTCAAATTAGATTAGCAAAGCACTGTAGCAAATGAATAGTTCACAAAAAGTGAGACTGATATCAACCCATCAACTTGATAAAGTTTGGTCATTCGCAGAACTTGAACATAGTTGCTTTTAGACATGATCACAAGACATCTGCCGTCTCTAGATTGATCAGGTGTAGCCAGCAGCCAATATTCTATGATCAACTTCTTCAAGAAATGCTAAATACTAGAAATGAGAGAATTTGATGTACATGTACGTCAATAAATACTGCAAATCACATGTAACTGAAATCTTAGACTGCAACATGATTATACATACTTGAAATAGGTGGTGATTGGTGATGCTTTGAAATCAAAATTGTCAGCCATTCCACTACGCCTTTTCTTGTACGCCACTTTGTGTCAGAATTTATGGTACTTGTATGCCCAAAAGCATCCAAATAATCCTCTGAGACAACATATAGCATGTTCCTTGAGCTTCCTTCAGTACCCACTACAGCAAGGATTAACTCCCCTGAGGTATCCTTCAAGTAGTAGTGCACAACACGGCGGCCCTTCCCCTGAGAAACAACGTGCTCTTCCCACGAACTAAATACATGACTATCTGTATCCATCCTAATGCCACAGAGAAAGAGTTTGGATTAATCGAAAAATAGCCCAGTTCTTAAACACCCTCATCCAGAAACATATAATCATTTTAGGATAAAGAATCATGAGCAAACATAATCCTTCTAAGTTCTGTTACAATTTAGGACCCGATCAAACAGACATAAATGACTGGAACAAAAGACATCAGATACAAAGGACAGATTTTTCCAACAATTAGCTCCTAATGGTCATATAAAAAAATGAAAGAACAGCATCAAACCACAACCCCAAAATGAAACACAGACAGAGTTTTGCTTATCCAAAGATAAACCAACCTTAATTCCAGAAAACTCTCAATACAGCTCAGCTACTAAGAACAGATAATTTTTTTCAAGAATTGCCAACCAAGGATCAAATTCACAATGAAAAACAACAATGAAGCCCAAACCCAAGTGAAAAATGAAATAGGGTTTGCTGATTTTCAAACATTAATCATGTACAAGAACAAAAACACACAACATTGAACCAGCATTGAGAAGACATCAAGTGCTCACACTTACAAGCAGCAAAAAAGAACCCAGAATTCAAGAAAAACAAGCTAAGCACGTGACTAGAACAAAAACACTTAAAAAAGAAATGGGTTTGCTGATTTCCAAAAAGATTAACCATGTACAAGAACAAAAATACAGAACATTGAACCAGCATTGAGCAGACATCAAGTGATCACACTTACATCAAATAGCTTAGGATTGGAAAAGAAAACAAGCAGCAAAAAAGAACCGGGAATTCAAGAAAAACAAGCTAAGCATGTAACTAGTACTGACTGACCTCAAAATAGCAAAAGTTTGTTCCTTTATTGAGAAACTGAGCTTTAGAAAAAAGCCAGAGAATGCTGAGTTGGGTCTTTTGTCTACAAGCGGTGACAGTTAGGGAAAAGGATAGAGTAAAGAGTAAAAGAACAAGAAAAGAAGAAAGAGAATGGGGGAGAAAAAGCCAAATGCCATTGTTGCCAACACAAGCAAAAGGTTTGAGCTTTGGGTTTTTGTCTGAACTTTGTGACATGTGGAAGCAACAAGAGGGGAGAAACACAAAACTGAAGTTTTTTGAGTTTTAGCCTTTACACTAAACAAATTTAGTGTTACAACAGTATTAGTGACAAAAAATGTATTCCAAAATTAAACTAAAAAGTGTGATCTTGAACCCGTTTCATGCTCATGTCAGGTTGGGGTAGTGCAGAAAAAAAAACCCTGTGAAATTCTATTCAATTTATCGTAATCGATTAGTTAATATGTTGGTTATCTGTATTTTTTAACATGAAAATATTCTTTGGCATATCAAATTATGTGTATAGCCGTGAAAAAAATTCAACAAAAGACAAAAACAAATCACTATTCGTAATAGAAACTTCAATTTGTTCACAATATTAATCATATTTTCTGATAAACAGCTCTAATCAGCAAATTTTGAATTGATTGATTCAGAGTATTAATTATCAATCCAGCTATGAGGCCGTTCCACAGAACTAAGAATAAACAGTGCATTACTCGAAGCAATCAGTATTAAAAACTAGACAAAGAATAATATGAAAAGGAGAAGGGGGTTTAACCACTTCTTTTCTTAGCAAATAAAAAGCTCATGCTGTTTCTCTCTGAGAACATGAAAAAAGCAATCTGACAGCTTTAGTAATTGAAACCAAAAAATGAGCGATCAAAAGATAACCTAACAAGAATCAAGAGGTTGTAACATGATAATGGAAAAATCAGGCAACAATATTTCTCTGTTAATTTGAAATACTAAATGAAACCACAAAATAATTTGTTTTGAAATGCCTTGTGTACAATTGAAATGCCTTGTGTGCAAATGCCAAAGAATGCATCCCAGACGAAATGCCACAAGGATGTGTATCAGTTTCTCTCCCGAGACCACTTTTCAGTGCGAGAATTTCATTAGGTAGTTGGTAATCATCTAATTCACCACTATATTTGACATCGTGAATAATAAGGATCTTATAGTGCCACTAGTTGAGTCATAAGGCAATCCCGAAATTCCTCCAGGAGAAATCGTGGATGTGGAATTACTATTGATTCTCTTGTGGAGAGATTACATAGCAACAGGTTGGAATTCTCGAAATCCACATTATTATCACAAACTGTGATAATAGTCAACCCATTGCAAAAACAATTGATTGCGCAAAACCCTGGTTTAGAGTTTGAAGGGCAATCAAGTTACTGTACATCATCAACCAGTTGAACCGACAACAAGACAACAATAGAATGAAAATATACAATCCTTGTGGCACTTCTGGGAAATAAGAATTTTTTGGGAATTTTGGTCATTCTTAGCATATTTAAGATGCTTCATCTTTTAAAGTAAGGCTCGAAGATCAATGATTTCCAAAGTCTTGTGACAAATTTGAAACGAAGAAGAGTCTGCACAGGTAATTTCCTGAGTATATCAACAAGTATTTCCTATGGGAAGTGACAACCGTGACATAGGAAGGACAACAAAGAGTGATCATAGTATTTGAATTAAATGTTAGAACAATTTATTCATCTTCTAATTTTTTTTTAAAAAAAGTGGTAATAGATTTTCAAGAAAAAAGAGTTTGAAAAATGGGTGGGGCAACATTTTTGGAGAGTCGGAGTAACATAGCAAACACATACTCAGAGGAAACTTCATAAAGTTAAGACAATTATGCATAACCAATAAGAGAGTGTACAATACAAGAGCATGCCAACTTCTTGGCCAACTTCTAAAACTTATACATATAGTATAACCAAAAGAGTGCGCTCGGATGGTAAGCACCCTCCACTTCCAACCCTGAGGTTGCGAGTTTGAGTCACGAAGGGAGAGAAAAGGTGGGAGCTCCTAGGGAGGGATAAAAAAAAGAATGCTTGCTTATAGATCTATAAGATGTCTTTTCCAAACAACATGGCTGGCTGGGCATAAAGAAGTTAAGTACACAGAATGAAAGTTTACTGAAGAAATGGTTATGGAGATTTTGTTGTGAAGATACGGCACTATGGAGGAGATTCATCTCACAAAAATATGGGCTTCAGAATAGCTGGATTACTGAGGAGGTGATTGGTACCTTTGGATGCTCTATGTGGAAAACAATTAGAAGATTGTGGGTCTCTTTCACTAACAAACTGAAGTACAAAATTGGTTATGGGGAATAGACAAGTTTTTGGAATGAACTATGGATTGGGGAAGAGGATCTGAAACCTATTCATCTTGAGCTTGCAACAGATGGATAAGGTGGCACAAGTATGGAGTCCTCAAGGGTGGAACTTGATTTTTAGGAGGGCACTAAATGATTGAGAAATCAATAGAGTAGCAGACTTGCTCCATACCCTAAATGCCTTTCCAGGGACAACTTTAGGCCCTGATTTGCCAATCTGGAAGCTGCATAGCAAGGGGTCCTATACTGTGAAATCATGTTACTGGAGTTTGAATTCTAGACAGACAATGACAACAAAATGGCCAAGGAAACTGGTTTGGAAAGTTAAAATACCACATAAAGTCTCGTGCTTCATCTGGTTGTTGATCAGGAGAGCCTGTTTAACCCACGAAGTACTACAGAGAAGAGATATCCAAATTTGCTCAAGGTGTTTTATGCGTGAGCAAGAGGCAGAGACAAATACTCATTTATTCATGCATTGCAAAACAGCTGCAATTCTATGGAACATGTTCTTCTGTATACTTGGGATAAGCTGGGTAATGCCAAGGACCTCATTCGATATGCTGCAAAGTTGGGAAGGAGTGGGGAGAAGAGGATCACAAGAAGATTGGTGGAGAAGTATTCCAGCAAGTGTTTGGTGGACATTATTGACGAAAGAAACGAAAGAAGCCATGATGGGCAAGCTAGCAGTCTTCAGAAGATCAAGATGAAGAGTGTAAGTTTTTGTAATTTTGGTGTAAACAAGATATAGTGGGGGAGATAGATAGCTTAGTTGAGTTCATAGGACAATTGTAAAGTTTCTATCTAGACTTTGGTCTGAAGTATACCCTCTAGGGTTGTAAATCCCACCCCGTCATCTTTTACCTGATGGGCTTTTTGGTGCGAATATACAGTTACCATTATAAAAAAAAGATTATTTTCCATGTTTTGCAGTCAAAGACCTATACATTTACAAAGGCAAATCAAGCACTGTTGAAAGTTACTTACAAATCAAAATTTACCCACAGTGCCAAAAGTATTTCACCATTATCGAAAAGAACTAGCGACTGCTAGACGCCAGCATTATAACTTGTAGAATTGTCTGAAATCAGTTCTTGTTACCTGCAAGAAAATCAATACACCGTCGCTTTTTCAGTTTAAGGACATCAGTGTCTTGCTTCTCTGTTGAGTGTTTACAAGTTGATGTCATTTTGTTGTCTTCACGTGACACAAGCTTGGGAGCCATCTGCTTTTCGCAGTTGTCAGGTTCTTTGATACTGCACTTGGATACATCTTTTAAACTAGAGCTTATGAACGACTTTATATCTATCTTTCCCTTAACTTCAACCCATTTGTCATCGACCCTGTTCTTCCTTTGAATCTCCAATAATATGTTCTCGCCTGTTATTGAGATAAAAAAAACACCTTGGTGCATCAGGCATGACCAACATTAATCATTAAAAATCCAAGACAACAAATTAGCCAGAAACTAGGACTACTGTTTAAAACTGTTTCCACTGCTAAGTTAGAAAGTCAATTTATGACAATACTGAGCTTAGACATATGAGTTCAAGTAAGAATTTAAAATAATTAGAGACTCCAATTTTGCATCCATTGGCTGTTGAGTTATGCTTACGCGAAGTTGCTATGCATCAACCGATAAGCAAGAATTCTCCTTTAATTTCTATTAGAACTTTTTAGTTTTTGGGGACTGTTATTTCTTACCAGGGAAGTAAACCTGAAGATGACCACTTCCAGTGACATCAAATCCAGTAACAACACCTTCCCACCACCCGTTAGATCACCAAGCATCAACTGCAGCTCCTAGTTCAAAAGAATAGTCAGAAGAATCCTCCTGAGGCTGGGGCCGAACTGTGAGGCGTCCAGTGCATCTCATGCCCAATTTATCAGAGACTGCAACTTTGTAGGAAGGAATCCATTCCTATAAATCAAGCAAAGGTGATGAGAAGACAGGGTGAAGGGAGAACGGGACCAGTCAATATACGTAAGTAGATCATAAGTTATAGTCGCACGGGACAAACTTCAAAGATGAGAATTTCAACCGTGTTCTAGATGCTTTTTGTGCGGAGCTGCTAGGGAAAATAAAAGCCAAAGGGTAGTGGCTGCAGGTTTTCCTTGTCATAAAAAAAAAATAAAAGCCACTTATTCATTCATTGTGTTGTTACCGGGAAATTATGGCAACTATTCTTTAACATAGTAGGAATCAGATGCTCGATGCCAGCAACAAGTGTTGATTTACTGAAATGTTGGAATCTGACAGGACAGTTAGTCAGAAAAATTGGTGCAAACTTGTCCCTACTTGTTATGGTGGACTATTTGGAAGTAGAGGAATTGTGGAGCTTTTGAAGACAAATATGATTTTGTGCAGAAAATCAAGATGAATTGTATATTTTTGTTTCATTTTTGGTATAAAACAAAGCTATGTTGAGGAGGCTGAATCAATAGTTGATATGGTAGGATCCTTATGAAGAAGTAACCTAAGCTTGGTTGGGATTTTGTAAAGCCTTTGTGCACTGTTATAGTGCAACTTTAATATATACTGGTAACTAATGCTAAGACGTCATGAGATTGGTCATAACTATTGTTCTATATTAAGTTGTTATGTGCTTCAACAATTAAATGAAACAGTTGAAGTTCGAATCACATAGTAATTTAGGCTTTAGGATCGACCGACTCATAACGTTTGAATCAGCCAAAGAAAAAGGCCTCATTCTCAAAAAATATTATACCAAACCACAAACTTGTGCGTTGCACATTTTTCAAGTACAACAAAATACATGCGACTGTGGTTAGAACAAGAAACACAATGTATACTTTCCTTGCAAAAACAATGAAGTAATTATTTAGGAGGATAAGTTCCCATTTATTCTTCAAACAAGGATTATCCATCTCTGGGATTCAAAGTACGACCATCAGTACACCACTCGGCACTCTAGTTTAAATCCAGATGCACAACTAAATTCAGCTTGTGCCGGGAAAACTGAAGTGAGTTAAAAAAATCACAAAATTAAAATGGAACTGGAAATAACTTGTCACCATCTCCACTGCTCCCTCCCCAAAAAATCCACGGGGGAGGCTTCTTTATAGAAAGAATAATCGCAACATAACTTAGTTTCTTTCCTTTCAAAGCATAAGATCTTTCATCTACAAACTCATCAAAAAAGGATTTTTCATCTTCAAATTAGATTAGCAAAGCACAGTAGCTGATGAATAGTTCACAAAAAGTGAAACTGATACTAACCTATCAAATTGATAAAGTTTGGACATTCACAGTACTTGAACATTGTTGCTTTTAGACATGATCATAAGACATCTGTCATCTCTAGTTTGATCGGGTGTAACCAGTAGCCAATAATCTATGATCAACTTCTTCGGGAAATGCTAAATACTAGAAATGAGAGCATTTGATGTACATGTACGCCAATAAATATTGCAAATCTCATGTAACTAAAATCTTAGACTGCAACATTATTATACATACTTGAAATAGATGGTGATCAATGATGCTTTGAAATAAAAAACACCAGCCATTCCACTACCTCTTTTCTTGCACGCCACTTTGTGTCGGAATTCATGGTACTTGTGTGCCCAAAAGCATCCAAATAATCCTCTGAGACAACACATAGCATGTGGCTTGAACTTACTCCCCTGAGGTATCCTCAAGTAGTAGTGCACAACACGACGGCCCTTCTCCTGAGAAACAACGTGATCTTCCCACAAACTAAATACATGAATATCTGTATCCATCCTGATGCCACAGAGAAACAATTATTTTAGGCTAAAGATTCATGAGCAAACATAATCCTCCTAAGTTTTGTTACAATTTAGGACCCGAACCGAAATGATTGTAACTAAGAACATCAGACATAAAGAAGACATTTTTCCAGGAATTAGCTCCTGATAACCATATAAACAATTCAAAAAACAGCATCAAACCACAATCCCAAGTGAAACACAGACAGAATTTTGCTTACTCCAAAGCTAAACTAACCTTCAAGAAAATTCTCAGTACAACTCAGCTACAAAGAACAGATTTTTTTCAAGAATCACCAACCAAGGACCAATAAATCCCAAACCCACGTGAAAAACGAAATGGGGTTTGCTACTTTTCAAAGATTAACCATGTCCAAGAACAAAAACACACAATATTGAACCAGCATTGAACAGACACCAAGTGATCAGACTTAAAACAAATAGCTTAGGGTTGGAAAAGAAATAAGCAGCAAAAAAGAACCCGAAATTCAAAAAAAAAAACAAGCTAAGTATGTACTGACCTCAAAGTTTGTTGCTTTATGGAGAAACAGAGCTTGAAAAGGCCTAAAGAGTATCCTTCTGGTTATGGCAGCCGAGGTCTTGCCTCTTTTATTTTGGGGCCACCTCTCAATTGATTTTGCCACTTTTATATAACAAAACATCACCTAAAAAATAAAAATCTATTTAGTTAAGGAGATAATTTACTTGGAAGTAAAAAAAATTTAAATCCAAAATTACACTAAGAAATTTTCCATAAATTGAGAGATATTTATGATGTATATTCACACATCAACATAATAAACAATATATATATATATATATAAGTATAATATTTTAATTATATTTTGTTAGTGAATTAATTGTTTATGACAAATAAAGTTTTATATAGGCTTTCATTTTTACATGTTGAGTTTCAATTCAATTCTAGATCAAATTCAAACTTATGAGTTTGTCCCGTCTTTTATTAGTTATCTTTATAAAGAGAAAGTTGATTTCTGAACCTCCTTCATATCATATCGAAGTAACTTAGAAAAAAGAACAAAATTTGATTCAATTTATTTTAATTGATCAGTTAACATGTTGGTTGATCATATTCAGAAATATAGACAAAAATTTATTGACTTGTCAAATTATCTATCAAATCACAAAAAAATATAATAACAGATAAAACACAACTTTCCTATCCATAAAGTTCACAATATTACTACCCATAAGCAAGAACTATCTGACCATAGTTGTTGGTGATAACTTGAAGTTCCTTGTTAAGTTATATAACATCTTAAGCATGTGGTATAATGCGATTTTAAGTTACAAAGTCTATCAAAAATATTTCTATCTTATTTTAATGTTTATATACATCTTATTCTTCTAAATCCAACTATGTATATCTAGTTATAAAAAATGTTTGAGAAGTAGCGAAGTGATAATATTGAATTGACACATGCTATTTTAATGGATAGATAAAATGATAGAAAATTCCGAACATGTTTGAGATTGAGATATAGTTAAAATGATGCATAAACCTATATTATAATGTTGATCCGTCCAACAATATTAGGACCTCCCCAAGACAATGACGGTAAACTTATCTTTTATTCTATCCATTTCATATTACTTGACATTCATACTAAAAATAGTCATTTCTATTTGCTTGTTCAATTTATATAATCATGAGAATTATGTTATATTTTTCTCAATTCATCCGTATTATTAAATAACTACATAAATTAGTAATAGTCAAAGTTAGAGTTTTAAATTATCATTAATAAAGTTAGTTTAATAAAATTCACATTTAATTTTAAAAAAAATCCACAAGTTTTACCTTCAATTATTTGGGCGTTTCTAGTAATTAAGCTCATACATTGTACTGAGCGTACGTTTTAAACATTTGGATACTGATTAGTCCTAACTTGATTATAACATTTGGATACTTATAACAAAAATTACTTTCATTTTTCTTGTATTGACATTATTATAGCTACATAAAGTAATTGTAATAGTCAAATTTAAAGTTTCAACACATCATTGAGAAAGTTAATTTTGTAAAATAAATCTTTAATTAAATATTTCTTAAAGGGTGTGTCAAGTCAACATGAGTCAAGTAATATAAAACAGAAGAAGTACTATCGAAACTGATAAAAACCCTTGAGATGCCAACGTTTAATTGGACCACTAATCATATATTTGATTAATTTCCACATAATATATCGGTTATACAAAAATTAAACCTCTCATGTATTTCATTAATTTCCCATATAATATTAACTCTTCACCTTCCTATCATAAATCCCTATAGCACTATATAATCCCACACGTCCTCCATAGTTTTCTTATACAATTAATCACACAAATCCCACTATTTTTTTTTGCTAATTAACAACATGATGAATAGTACTCTCATGATCTTCAAAATTGTACTATTACTTACCTTAGTTTCATGGATTAATATTCTTCAAGCTCGACCTTTAACCACATCTAGTACTGGTCGTACTACTACACTTATGACACGTTTAAAATTACAAGATGAAGAAGAAGACTCATCAGAATGTTGGGATTCATTATTCGAGCTCCAAGCATGCACGGGGGAAATCGTGCTTTTCTTCGTTAATGGTGAAACCTATCTAGGTCAAAATTGTTGTGGTGCTATAAGAATTATTGAACGTCAATGTTGGCCATCTATGCTTGGTTCTCTTGGTTTTACTTCTGAGGAAGGTGATATTTTACATGGATATTGTGATGCTAGTGAGTCTCCTTCAACTCCTAATTTGGCTCCATAAGTAGATTAATTAATTTTAATGTTGCAAAAATAAAAAAGGGGGTTTTAAAGTATTGTTATGTAACACGAATATTATGGAAGAATATATTAAACTTTGACATATATGTTTGATGCTTTGAGTTTATAGTGCACAATTTCCTTATGATCTTGTCATGTGATAATTAATATAGTAAAAATTATTTTATCTTTTTAGTATAATCGGTCGTGTTTCTCTTTTACATTTTCTTTTAGATAATATTATTTAGAATGGTATTTGACAAGTTTATCCCCATTTATATTTTAAGAACAATTACTACTAAAAATAAAATGTAAAAAAACAAGTTTGTGGTGAATTTATAAAATGATAAATAATTATAGACAAACTATTTTTAAAAATATCACGATTAATAATTTGAGATAGAAAAATACTTATTTTATGACAAGTTTATGTGGCGATTTGCCAAGTTGCCATAAAGGTTTAGAAAAAAATAAGACTCTTGAATTTTTTGATTTCAAAATACTCTGATTTTTGACCATTTGTGTGACTATAATAAATAAATTCATTAAAGCTTAAAAGGAAATTTTAAAATTAAAGTATTTTAATTATAGAAAGATGATTTATTTATTTTTATGAAAGAAACTAAAAAAGAAAGTATACCAAAAAAATGAAACGATACCATACTACAATTTATCCAAATTTCAAACTCTTATCCGAGTTCTACATCCCTCCATTTCATTTTATGTTTCTTAACGTGATTATACACCGTAATTATTTTTTTTTGAATTGTGTAACTTAAATGAGAAACGTGTCATATAATGTATTAAAGTGTTTTTTAAATTTTGTGATGATTGAAATTCTTATTTATTATTAATTAATAATTAATAATGCATAAAAAAGGATGGTGGAAAATTATATGAAACAACAAAAATGAAGTGAAAGAATAGAGTAATTTCTCATCTCCAAAATGGAAATTTACAGAACAATTATTTTCATTTTCCTTGATATTTCACAATTTGTGAATATATTCACGTAAAAGAGAAAATACAATTTCTGACTATTTTCTATTTCTGTTCAATATTGAAATTCCTCAAAAAAAGACAATTTTACCCCAGAAGAAACTCGAGATTTACAGTAATGCCCCTAGAAATCATCTTCTCCGCCGTTACGCCGGACACTGTAATTACTCTTCCAAATCCGGCGATACTGCAGTTTCCGATGCTTCCTCATAACTCTTGAAAACCCTCCATTCTTCACCGCCGACGCAGAATGCCGGCCAGATTTATGAGCGAAGGGATCCACTTTCTCCGGCGCAAAAAACCCTTTCCCCATCTGGCTCAGAGTGTCCTCATACATGTTGAATCCAGTCAGAAGAATCCCATCTAACCCATGAACAACAAATCTCGACCCGACAAAAAGATTCGGATCCGAAACTCGAACCCCATCAACAGTGACGAAATCGTCGTCGCCCCTGCTCGTTTCCACCAAAATACTGTAATGGGGAAGAAGGGTATCAAGGTATGGAGAAGTAAGGTTGCGGAGTTCAGTGATTGTGAGTCGGCGAGAAGGGATGACGTGGGATCGGAGTGCCGCCACGTAAGCATCAGCATCGGAAGCCATATCGAGAGTATACAGGAAATGATCTCTCGGTGCGAAGATAGTGAATGATCCCGCCGCCGCCGATGAAGAGTCGGCGAGTGTGGTGTGACCGGTGAGAATTTGGAATTGGATATCGGAGGTGTCGATTGCGTTGCTAAAAAGAGGGTAACCGCTGTACCTTAAGACACTCAGAAGGCTGTCCAGTTCATATGGGGAAATGGAGTATTTCGTGCGGGCGGTGTTTTTCGCCGGTTTTCTGGAGTGGACGGCGGTGGAGACGATATCAACGGTGGCGGTGGTATTGGTGGCGGAATCGACGGCGGCGGTGGAGACGGCGGTAATGGAGAGGATGAGGAAGAGAGTAAGGCGGTTAGCCATCGGAAAGCGGTTTTTCAGTTTTGGCGGTTTTTCAAAATTGGAATGAGAAATTATAGAGTGTGGGAGTGTGTATTTGTAAACAATTTCTTGGGTGGATTGTGGCCGTCTGATTAGATTTAACAGAGTGTACTTAATGGTAGTACTATATATGTTTGCCAAAATTAAGCCGACATCTATCGAAAACAATGTTTTTATTTTTTGGTGGGAATAATATTACGCTTTACTCTTTCAAGTCCCTAATCATAAAAATATACTGAGCATATTGTTATTTTGTACATATATTTTTTTTTTAAACTTGGTTTCAACTGACTTTCAACTTTGGGTGGGGACAAATAAACATTTAAATTTGTATAAAATTTAACAAGTAGAGACATGTATTCTATGTGGCATAATACATAGGACGTCATGTAGGACACAAATTGTCATGTATGATGTCACATAAGACGAATATATATATCTATTTTGTCCAATTTTATACAAATTTAAATTTTTACTTGTGCACACCCAAAATTAGAGAGTATAAATATTATAAGGTCAAGTTATAAAATATATTTATATATTATACCTTAAAAAAAAATATAACTATAGAAATGGTGTTTATTCTAAAATGGAAAATAAGAATTTTTTTATGAACAATTTTGAATACGTACTTATTGTTTGTATACTCATTTGATTTACTCCACTTGGTATTCATATTGCTTTCATTTAAACTAGTCTCAAATCAAAAAAAATTTAAAAAAATTTCATTTAAACTAGTTTCAAATCAATTTTTTTTTTTTTAAAAAAAAGTAATTTTAATATAATAGAGATAAGTTACATATTAGACTGATTCATCAAAATAATTATATTCGCTAGTTAATTATATAAAATTATTGTTCATAATTCCA